AAATCAGTTTAAACTTATTGGAAAAGATTAATTTCTATCAGTATGAACTGACCACCACACAGAATATGAAGAATATTAAAAACATTAGGAGTCAGCTGTCTTCAGCAGTCCTTAAGGTACCAGCACAATAACACACTCAGCAAAATATTGTCTAATTATCGTTATCGATAAAATCCCATAAAATATCGAGATATAATTTTTTGTCAATATCGCACACCCCTAATATATATATATATATATATATATATATATATATAAAATTGTATGCATTTTGTGCTTTGCATAAAAAAGTATTTAAAAATAATCATGACAGATGATTAAGAAATAAAATTAACAATAAAAAGTGAATAAAGGAAGCTTTAACGACAAAAACAAATTATTTAAAATATAATAAAAAAAGTTAATCCAAATATGATATGTAAAATATGAAAAAAATTAAAAAATATGATTTTTAAATCTATTTTCTATTTTCTATACAAAGAAAAGTAAAAATGGTTTCTATGATCATCATCATTTTGTGTGGTTTTATGTGTGTATAACAGATGATCAAGATCAATACAATTGACAATAAAAAAGTAAAAATGATAGATAGACAGATAGATAGACAGACAGATTGATTGATTGATTTTGGGTGAATTATTAATTTAAAGATGTCACAAATTTTTATGTGAATTTTATTTTGTTGATGGTATGTTTGATCTCTTTCACCAGGTGGCCCCTGATTTTTTTGAGTACTTCAGAGCACTTTATCCAATTTTAAAATCGGACCCGACTCTGTGGTGCGTGTCTGCCTGGAATGACAATGGCAGGGAAGGATTTGTTGACCCTGGAAAAGCGAGTCTGTTGTACAGGACAGATTTTTTCCCAGGCTTGGGCTGGATGCTCACAAAGGACCTCTGGGCAGAGCTTGAGCCAAAGTGGCCAGCCTCGTTTTGGGACGACTGGATGCGCCACCCCGATCAGCGCAGAGACAGGTCCTGCATCAGACCAGAAATTTCCAGAACTTTAACGTTCGGTCGGAAGGGTGTGAGTTTGGGGCAGTTTTACGACAAGTACCTCCGCTTTATTAAGCTGAATTCCGAATTTGTGCCTTTTACAAAAATGGACCTTTCTTATTTAGAAAAGAAGAAATATGATGAGAGCTTTGAGAAGGAGGTTTACAGTGCTCCGGTTGTCACCGTGGAGGACTTGCAAAGTGGGAAACTGTCTGGGTCTGGTCCGTTTCGGGTGCAGTATTCCAGTCCTGACAGTTTTAAAACATTGGCGCGCAATCTTGGTGTGATGGATGATCTGAAGTCAGGAGTCCCACGAGCAGGGTATAGAGGTGTAATTAGTTTCCTTTCACGTGGAAAGAGGGTCTATTTAGCTCCACCTGCTGGTTGGAGTCAGTATGATCCGAGCTGGGGTTGAGGTGGGCTGTGCCTACATCACAGGAATTTCTTTTAAGGTGCAAAGCATATGAAAATGATATTGCATATTATCTGTCACCATCATTCCCTTCACAGAGAGCAATTGTCTTAAAATTCCATTGTGCTGCTTTATGATGGAAAAACCTCTAGTTGGGGTTTCAGGATGATACCAAAGATAAAACCATTAATTGATCACTCAGATTTTTTTTCACACAAAGTATACTTGTTCAGGAACTAAACATGAGAGTAAATATGTTTGAAAAAAATAACACTTATTTTTTAATACTGTGAATACTACTCTAAGTGCCTATAAATGTAGAATTTGTTGATTCCCCTCTGTGTACTGTCTTTATTAAATTGTGCGTACGGTTCATGGCATAGTGTTTGGAATATGTTAGGAAAAATCATTTGACACTTGATTATGTTTTGTGTTTTACTTTTACTTATATACTGGGATATTTTGAAAAGGAAAATATTTTTTTTTGTTAAATTTGATGACTAATTTCTTGCTTATTTAAATAATAATGCTAATAAAAAATAATACACTATCAAAACAATTGTTATTATTCACATCATTTAGATGTATTAATTCAAAATTACAGGAGGAAAAAACATGCAATTTATAATAAATGAACAATCGTTATTATAATTATTTACAATTAGCAGGCTTTCAAATAAAAGTATTTACAATAACAATAATAACAGTAATAATATGTTTCAATTCAGTGCTAAACATAAATAATTTACATATAAGAAGACATCCAAATAATGAAAACATACTAATACAGAGGGTTTAGGAAAATAAAATTAAAAATAAGACGGCAGTTCTTAGTTTCACTTTTCCATTTTGCAAATAAAATTGTATATCTAGATGTTTTGTTAGCAATACAATTAAGAGAGTCAATAAACAGAAATTCAACCCTAAATACCCTAAAACATAGTTTAGAAATAGGCTACTCGTTTTGCTTTTGTGTATGAAATTTACCAATTATTATTATTATTATTAGCCACACAAATTATTATTATTATTATTATTATTAGCCACACAAACGAGTCATTACGTGCGTCACCAAAGGCTCCCACGCTGTTACGTTACACGAATGTTACACAACGTCAACTACAGTAGCTCAGAAAGTCCTAAAGGGTTTGGTTTCGCGTTTTCTATTTACCTCACTCGTGTATCACATTCCGTATTATTGAATGACGGAGGGAGAGCGATGTTAGCCATGGGGTAAATCTGAAGCAAAAGAATGGACTTTTGGCGATTATTTGTCATGTAATCTTCATATTATTCAGTTTACATTTCATGGCACTTTTAAACTCATCAAACCGGTTTATTTATTTGCTGATAACAGTTAACGTTAGTCATTTGTAGTAGCGAGCAAGCTAACAAACTACCACAGAAAGTAATGAAGGGAAAGACATTGAAAATATAGTCAAGTAAGGCTACTTCTCTGTTTCGCTTCCGATCTGACAGTTTTCGCTTTGTTAATCGTCAACATTTGATCTCGGCTATACGAAGAGGCCTGTAAATGGATCCAGCGGTTTTGCGTGAAAGTCCTGCGGGTTCAGGAGCACCTTTAGTAAAGGAGAGAGGAGGAAATCAGCCGGAGGAGGTGACAGATGATAGCAGAGAAGCTGATGGGGAATCCGAGGAGACCGAGATGGAGGGTAAAGACTCTGAGAGATCTAAAAGGCAAGATGAAAACTCACTACATGAAAAACTGACTGAGGAGGAATTAGATCCAAGAATCCAGGTAAACTGAAATTCAGTCAACGCGGTTTAGTAAGATCTCACACGACACCGTTTAAGGTGCCCTTGAGCAAGGCACCGAACCCCCAACTGCTCCCCGGGCGCCGCAGCAAAAATGGCTGCCCACTGCTCCGTGTGTGTGTTCACGGTGTGTGTGTGTTCACTGCTGTGTGTGTGCACTTTGGATGGGTTAAATGCAGAGCACCAAGTATGGGTCACCAGACATGGGTGACATGTCACGTCACTTTCAATTCGTTATTTTTTAATGTCTATATAATTTTTATTAGTTTTTATTTTGACTTTAGTTTTAGCACATCAAGATAAATTAAATTAGTAATAGTTAAAAACTAAATAGTTTTAGTTTTAGTTAACTATAATAACCTTACCACCACCCCATATAATGCAGATAAGGCTTATATGATTCTCTCTCTCTTAGGTCTTCTTGCTTGATGCACACACTTTTTTTTATTATTAATTTGAATTCTGAATGGTATGCGCAATTTGTGTAAAAACGTTCTGTTTGTGTTGTCAGGAGGTTCGGTCCAGCCATAGGAGGATAATGAGTGAATCTGTGCTTAAACTCAAGGCGAAAAGTTCAGAACTGGGGTCCTGCATCGAGAAGGCCAGGCCGTACTATGAGGCACGAAGAAAAGCAAAAGAGGTGGAAGAATACTTATCCTTACTTTAGCAGTGAGAAAAAAACAGTTATAATTAATATGAACAATTAAAATAGTTATTTAGTTGTGGGAAATGGCTGATTTATGCCAAAACATCATATTGTATTTTTGCCTGTTTTTCAAAGGCTACTATCACAAACTTCACCTAATGAAATCCTATTGTCTCTTAAATGCATTATGATTGGTTTCACCCATTTTAGGCCCAGCAGGAGACCCAGAAAGCCGCACTCAGCTTTGAGAGAGCCGTGTCCATGCACTCGGCTGCTCGAGAGATGGTCCACGTGGCTGAACAGGGCCTCACTGCAGTCAAGACACTGGATCCAACCTGGCAAGAGATGTTGAATCATGCTACCTCAAAGGTATGCCGGTCTTCTCTCCAGCATATCTTACCAAGTTGTACCAAGCAGTTAAATGTGTCTGACTTTGCACTTTGTTTTCTTGGACGGTTGTTACATGATCAAATCATGCAACAGATTTTGTTAAAAACTTTTTTTTTCTTTTTAATAAGTCTCTTATGCCCACCATGGCCATCTAATTGATTAAAATACAGGAAAAATATTGTGAAAAATTTTACAATTTAAAATAACTGATTCTAAATGAACCATTCTAATATGCTGATTTTCTGTTTAAGAAACATTTCTGATTATTATCAGTGTTGAAAACACTTGTGCTGCTTAATTGTTTTGTGGTATTTTTGTGTTCAAAAGAACAGCATTTATTAAATATATAACTTTTGTGACATTATGTCTTTAGTCACTTTTGACAGTACTGACAATTGAATGTATCCTTGCTAAATAAGTATTAATTTCTTAAAAAAAACTAAATCTTACTGTATATGCTGCACAAACAAAAGCCTGTATGACATTTATGTACATGAAAACATGTAACTAATGCACCATTAACCCTCCATATGACCCATAGGATGTGCAGTTCAAAATGATTTTTCTGTTTATGTATCTACACTGAATATATTTTGCACATGCACACACACAGCATTGCTTTAAGCATGTTATAAATGTCTTGAAACTGTGCAGGTGAACGAGGCGGAGGAGGAGCGCATGAAGAGCGAGCGGGAGCACATGCGTGTCACCCAGCTGTGTCAGGAGGCCGAAGCCCGTGTGCAGGAGCTGCAGAAATCACTGAAGAGATCCGTCGTCAAGTCCAAGTCTTACTTTGAGCTCAAGGCTCAGTTCAATGACATTCTAGAGGTATGTTGAGATGTTATTATTACACTTGCATAGATTTCACTTGCATTACACCAAGTATGAAAAATATGGCCACATACTAAAATTAAAGGAATGATTTAACCAGAAATGCAAATCCTGTCATCATTTACTCAACACTCATGTCATTCCAAACCCATATTACTTTATTTTTGGCAGAATTTGTATTAATTTTTATTACATAGAATGAAGACAGACAGTGTAAAGTTCCAAAAGTCATGTCCCTGCAGGTCCTTAAGAAGTCTTAAATTCAGTTTGATCACATGTAATGCTATAAAATGTCTTAATTATAAGAAAATCTTAATTATCCCTTTAAGAGGTCTTAAATTTGGGACAGAAAAACAGAAATTGTGGTATTGCCTAATGTGATTATTACACTTCAAAGGGCTATGATTGCATTAAATAAATGTGAGAGCTTCACTTTCAAAGTAAAAACACGGTGTCGTAGTGCATTCTGTAAGCTTGCGGTTTCAGAGCAGTTCACAATTTATGAATACTGTTGATGAATTGTTTACTTTATGGTATTTATATTATAATATGTTGTAGATAGTTGTAAGAGTAAATATTTTTTCTCCCTCTTTTCTTTTTGAACGAGCAGCTGGAAGTACTAGAAAAGCATAAACGTTTCAAAATAAGAGTTTCAGTTTCGGGTTGGCTTATATATATATATATAAGTCACGCATTATGCAAAAAGTCTTTTTTTCTGGATATTATTGGTATTTTGGATACATAATAAGCTGTATGTGGCATTTAATTCAATATAAATTGTGACTTCTCTCATGATTTTTAAAAAAAATGGATATGGTCTTAAAAAGGCTTAAAATTAATGTTAAAACATTTGCTTGTACCCTAGGAAAAAAAAAAGAAAAAAAAAAAAGTACCATAGAAGGAATCCATATAATTTTAGGGCTATATTCCCTAAAACAGCTTTTTTTTTTTTTTTTTTTTTAGAGGAACAGATTTATTTTTAAACAAATTTTAAGTATACACTGAAAATATTGCCTTCTACCACAGCTCAATATAAAGATGAGTGAATTATGACCAAATATTTATTTTTCGACGAACTGTTCCTTTTAAGATTCTCATTTACAGTTAAAATGTCTGAGCTCAACATGGTCAAAACATGTTTTTGCAGGAGCACAAGTCAAAAATGTTACTGTTAGAGGAGCGTATTTCCAAAGCCAAGTTAAACTACTCCAGCACCCTGCGCCACCTTGAGCAAATCAGTGAGGAGATTCATGCCCAGAGAGAGCAGGACCAACCAAAGGATGGACCAATGAAAACGTGCGGTGGGAGGAGCCCTCCTGTAGGAGCAGAGACAGTCAGCAGCACAGGTACCGAAGGCGGAGCCTGCGGAGGCTACCCGAGACCAAACGATTGGGTGGATGGAAAAGAGGGCGTGGCTAATACCAGAGAGTGGGTGGAGACGCATAAGAACTCCAGGTGGGTGGACATGGGAAGAGCAGACGTGACACTCCAGACCATCATCTCTGATCTCGAAAAGTGTGATTCGGTCAAACACCTGGGCCGCCTCAGCAGTGACATCAGTCTCTCAGGGGAAGAAGGGGAGAGAGACGGGCTGGAGAATGATAAAAAGCGAGTGAGGCAAAAAAACGCACACATTTCAGAGGAGTTCCTCAAACAACACATAAGAAGTGTCAGTTTATGAGTGCGTCCTTGAATAATGCTCATGTTTTATCGATTTTAAGCTTGTTTGAGTTTGAGACAGAGTAACTCATCATTTTTATTTATTGTTGAGCATTTAACAGTACTTGAATAGGAGAAAGACCAAAAGAAAATTATATATATATTTCTTTAATTTTTTTTGAGAGAGAGAGAGAGAAGGTTTTTTACTGTTTGGTATTTCAAATCAAGTGGTAAAAGACTGACAATATTTGTAAGGGTAGCAACCCTGCAGTTTGATTAACCTAATCGTAATTACTACAATATATTTCTTTTTCATCCTAATCAGTACCTAATGTTTTTCTATGCAAATGTAAAAAACCCTGTCTTAATAAACACACTATTATTATAATCTCTATATAGCTGACATGATAAAATAAGGCCGTTTTGCTTTATACTTTTCAAATTTTACTGACCACTGGTGAGCTTTAGTTCGCTTACAGACATAATCACACTATTTGCCATTAATCATTAGCTAATTTTAGACTCTAAAATGCCACTGTTATTTTTCTTAATTTAAAATGTATTTTATTTTTACATTAGTCCCATGCTGACTTTGAAATAGTGGTTTACAAAAAGTGCTTTGTGTCCAAGTGACAAATGCATGCATGAGGTTTGCTTTATGTTAGTCTTGTTTGCATTAGTGCACTCTGTCCTTTTCATCAGAAGAAACATTTATTTCAACCAAAATACAGGTTTTGTATTGTTGGAGAGATGAAGCGTTGATTCTCAATTGCAGGGTTTTTAAAATACCTGCCGCTGAACATTTGATGTTTTGCTGTTTATGGCAATCACTTTTCTAAGTTTCAGAATTTATTTTCATTTCATGCATTTTCAGGTGTTTTTGAATGCTGTTTTCCTCATTTTTTGAGAGGCTATGTTCATTCAGTGTGCTTTATACATCTTTGCTAATCCTCCAGCATTGGATGTTGATATTATTGTCTTTAATAGTGTTCTGTATGAAGATGTGCACAGTGGTGACATTTGTGACGTCTGATGGAACAATAAATATGCATGTATAAATTCATATTATTTTGGGTATTTTAGTGTTTTTTTAAACAATTTTAGACATTAATCATGTGGTCAGATTAGCATAGCGTAAATAATATTTTTTTTGGTGTGCCTAATATAGGCCAGGGTAACATGTTTAACAATATTTTTCAATCATCAAAAAAAAAAAAAGCACGTAAGATCACATTTTTTAAAAATTGTATGTATTTATTTTTTAGAAATGTTCACATAAATCTGGTTGTTTTTGCCCATTTCTTGAGTGGAGATCTGACATGAAGGGGAAAAAATTACTAAAAAATGTTGCTTTTGCAAAATATTGCTTTGTCTCTGTTCATCTAGGCTAATATTAAAAGCAGAAAAATCAAATGACCAGGGCAAAGGCACTGACCTGTACCTCTCTGTGTTATCCAGGTGTTAAATTAGATTCAGGATGTATCTGTCAGCAAATGTTGCTCCTGATATTAATAAACTGGCACCATCAAAACAGGCTTAGATCTGCAAGGGCAGAGCGCTCTCTCCTCAGACATGAAAGTTAAGCTCCAGCAGATGACTGAAATAAGACACTATGACTGTAATTTATTCTCTCTGAAGTCATCCCTGCGCTCTTTCTCTGGCAACTTGTACCATCCCGTCAGATTTTACACTGCATCTGCTACCTTCCTGACTCCTGAGCTATTTCGATTCTGAAAAAGCGTGAGACAAAAATATTTCACATGGTACGGTTGCAAAATTCTCTTCCTTGCCCTGGTCTGTGTGCAGTCTGATTGCAGCCTTTCCCTTTTCGGATCTTGAGAACTATAACTATAATTTGCTGTCCCCTCAAAATAACTCAACACACAGCCATTAATGTCTAAACCGCTGGCCACAAAAGTGAGTACACCCCTAAGTGTAAATGTCCAAATTGGGCCCAAAGTGTCAATATTTTGTGCGCCCACCATTATTTTCCAGCACTGCCTTTAACCCTCTTGGGCATGGAGTTCACCAGAGCTTCACAGGTTGAGAACTATACCATATATTATAGATTGTCATAATATATATTTTTTGTTCCTTACTAATCTTAATAACTTTCAAGAACACAAGTAATGCATCTGAGTGCAGATTTCCAGATTTTTTTTTTTTTTTTAAGTGGAAACAACAAGCAGCTGTTCACCATATCGAAACTGTTTTTGTTGATTTTGTTTTCATTTGTAATAACTTGTCTTGGGGTGTCAGGATGAGTTTCTCATATTAAAATAATTAGTTAGTTCTTACCACTTCATGTAACTTTATAACATTTATAATAGACAGGGTCTATAATAAAGGTCATTAATAAAGTCTTAAATTAAGTTTTTATAAAAATGAAGGCCATTTGTACAAGAATATATTATTGATATATATATATTTTTTTACAGTGAGCATTGGCTTGAAAATAGGCTCTTCGAAAGGATTCATCTCTTCTCAATTATTAAAGAGCAAAGTATAAATAGACGACTGTGCCCATAACGAATATCTTAGAGGAAGAGAAGACAATCCTGGAGGAAGGGAAAACTGATCTAAAATTTATATATATAACTATGTGCATATGTGTTTGCACATACATATTCACTCTCCATGCACTTTGTAAACAATGTGTTTAAAAGGTGTTATATAAATAAATATTATTATATTACTGTTGGATATTCAAATAGAGGGCAAATGTGACCAAGAATAAAATTGGTCTAAACAGGAAAAAATGTGCTTTATGGCATAGATTTGTGAATAAAATCTACACTTAAGATTTTTATTAAACTTGAACAATATTTTTTCTTTATATATAAATATATGTAATTAAAATGATTGAAAAACATTGTCATCAATTATATAACACGTTATAATTAAAATGAGAGAAAATTAGAAATACGGTAAATAATCTATATAAATATTTTTAAGGATCCACATAATAATATTAAACAAAATTCTAAATAAATACATAAATTAATAAATAATATATAAGAAAGAGGGGCAAAATACAAAATAAATGATATAAAGGGGAAAAAAATACAAATTGAGTATATAAATAATTATATAATAATATATATATTAATATATATAATTAATATATATAATAATTATATTAATATATTGTACACTTGGCACAGAAGATGACTCGTGACGCAAGGATGAAAAGACATAGGCTGCGTTCCCCCGTTACGTCACAAGTAAGTGAGATTGAGGAGGGAGTGGAAAAAAAGAAGGAAGGATGAGCGCTATGTAGATAATGTTTCTCTATGTAGCCGGTGATTTACACTTGCAATGATCTAATGCAAAGCAATACAGACCCTTCTCTAAAAGCCATAAAGCAGTCCGCAAATGTGAAGCACAGATTTGCACAATCAAAGCGACATCGCGCTTGTATCGGCTGGATGTTATATTTAAACTCTCCGTGAACGGATATTGTGTTTATTTTCTTCGGGTCGGTCCTGCTGGAGCTGCACCGGGCCTTTGCTGTGAGTAAATCACTTTTACGTGATGTCTGCGCTTGTTTTAGTTTCGTTTGTGTTTACCATGGGTTTTATATGATGAAGTAGCTCTCAGCTGTTTTCTCCTGCATATCTGACAGATATCGTTTGATTAACGAAAGCCGGTTGTAATATGCTTTGCACGGGACACAAAACTTCACAAACAGCGCGCTTAAAGGTGTAGACGGACTACAGTACGCTGACGACAGACGCAGCCATGTTAATATGGAAACTTCAGGGAACCGTCTCCCCGACAGCATATATTTTTAGACTAGAGAACGTCACATTGTATGAGAGCGTTATTATAAGAATAAAGCAGCAGTGATGCATCTTTATGGGGTTCCGCGGAAAGTCCTTGTCCATGGTGCTGAAAACGTTCACCAAACGGGACCTTAACCTCTCAACAAACCATCAACCAAGCCAATATCACTTTCAGACCACTCTGTCTTGTAGAGGTGTATATTTTACTGTTTAATCTCTAAACTATAACATAGCATCACAATAAGGATAATCAGAAAGCTGACTTTATATTTGTGTAACAATGCAAATGGTTATTTATCGTTTTATAGAATGAAATTGACAATTAAGTAATAAAATAGAATATTTATGTCAAAAGAATTAAAAAGCTGTTAATATGGGTATCAATATGATGCACACCAGTTAAATTAAGATTAAAACAGTAAACAGAAGAAGCATAAATGAGGTAATCATATAAAAACACCATAAAATAGCATATTTTTAAGTTTTTATCAGGAAAAAGAAGGTTCTTAATATAAATCCTAACAGCTGTTTAAAAATAAGAAAGCCTCTTAATGGTGTCATATTCAGTTCAGCTCATAGGTTTAAATATACCTTTCAAGATTTGTTTATATTTTTTAAGAAAACAAGAGGGGCCTAATGAAATTCAGTATTTATTAAAAATAAATTTACAGTGAAACATCTGTCATTATCTGGTGAAGATTTGATATTCATAAATTGAACAAATATTCATAAATTCAACAAGACAAAAATAATAGCTACTAATAATAAATAATAATGAATTTATGAACCAAAGAATAAATAACAAACAAAAATTGAGTCAATATAAAAACACCAGCTTATTTTTTAATTCTTTGTCAAAACAACAACAAAATCAACAAAAACAACTGTTTAAAAGAGACTGCAACCTCCATCCATATCCACTCCCTAGAAATGATCACATTCACTCAGCGGCCACAGTTGTATAAAGTTTTCATGCAGTTTTTACTGTGTTTAATACATAAAATAGGAACAATTAGGATAATCGAAAAAGCTAAAAATGTATTTGCTCAACAGTGCAATGCAAACCAATCATTGTTAGTGCATCCTGTTGTTTGGATTACTGTAATCTGTGAAGTGTTGTGCCGTACTGAATTAATGAGGTGGAGTGTTGTAGAGACTTGTTTAAAGTTTAACTGATCCCTCTGATCCTCACCTCCCTGAATCATCTCCTGTCGCTCCCTACTGTGAGCCTGGAGAAAATCCCAGTCCCTACAGCCCTCCCTCTCTATCTGTCACGTCCTCATCTATCTATCTATCTATCTATCTATCTATCTATCTATCTATCAAGTAACCTTGACCTCTAGGTTCAAGTGTATTCAATACAGAAGTCAATATTGATGAAAGCACTCTCTGTTCAAGGCTTTGTCCTCCTGAAATGTCTTTGTAAGAAGCTGTATGTGTGTGTGTTAGACCCGTGTGCTTCTGTTTATTTTGCATGCTCGTGTTTGACCCACCCTGGATGTGCTTTTCCACTCTAAGAGTGGTTGAGGGAAAGCTCATAAAATCTTTACAGTGCAGGGATGGCAAACTGCCTCCATGTTGTACGAATCCTCCTCCTCCAGAACCATGTGTGGTGTAATTAAATCAGACAGCAGCTTATTATTATGTTTAACATATCTGAATGCCAACAAGGTCACGTCGAGCAGCTTAATTGCTTTGAAACGAGCGTGAATTGTGACCTGCTGAAATCAAACATATTATTAGTAATTTCTCTGTCTCTCTCTCATCCTTGTTCAGATGCAGTAATGGAGCAGCTATTATTTCTTGTAATTTTCTACTTGCTTCCTACTCTCATCTCGTCCATACATAATTCAACAACCGGAGGTAATGTGTGTGTGTGTGGATGATGTCTGGTCCATGCATGTTGAATTTAACACCACAGAATGTCTAAAGTGGCCCACCTCTGTTGCTTTGTGAGATTAGAGGGTGTTCTGTTTAGATTCTGTAAACTGAGTTTCATGGATTTCAAACAGCGATCTGCCCTCAGTCCTCTTGGGATCATGTTCAGCCGGAACTATAGAAGGAAAAAAATGGATTGCATGTCAGTTCTCCTTTTTCATTGTGAAAGCAATATATAGCCTACACAATCTAGATGAATCAAAGCAATTCAGTGTCACAGTTCAGCTTGTAGGTTTACAAGCCCCTTGTAAGATGTAAAAAAAATGTCTATAATAGTTTTTTTTTAATATGTGGGAACAATTTGACATAAGAGATTATCATAAATTGCTAAAGACAAAAA